CTGTTCATACCAAATTTCATCAATTTTCTCTTTTGGCTGATATATTTTCCCTCACCTATTTCTAATTTTATAGCTTTGAAAGTTTCATATTCTGAATTGTTGCAGGAAATGCTTTTTGGTCTTTTCAAGCACCTCTTGTAAGTTTGTTATCAGCTTTCTATTCAAGTCCTCTAGCTCGACAAGTCAGTCTATTCTTATTTTATTTAATGGTTTGTCCAGTAGACTCATTAACATTCTTCTTTGCTTGCTATTGATCATCTGACATCTTCTTTTGATGTTCTGCTCTATCTCTTTTAGTCTTTGTTTTTCTATCTCCTCTGCTCTTTTTTTATACAGAATTTTCCACCAGCCACGTATATCTGAGATTATTTTTTCTGTTCATATCTCTGTAATTTTTTCTATGCTGGTTTTATATTGTTCATTTATATATCTATTATATAATTTGTGACAGGTAGATAAATACTATGAGATAAACATTATGAGATAAACAATATGAGATAAAACTGTGATCTGATTGGCTACCATCATAATTAGATTGTGTAACTTATTTATACACATTATAATATTACAACAGAGTGAAACTCATGTTGTGAATTAGTAAAATCCACTATGCAGATCACATGAGGGTGAAACCTGCTTTTGTATAATAAAAAATATAGCTAAATACGGAGTTCACCTTAACGTAATCTATGTAGCAGGTTTTACTAATTTACAGCGCGAGTTTCACCCTCTATACTATTTTTCAAAAACTAATAACAGTATAAAATTGGTTGATCACATAATTATTATAATTTGTTGAGTACAGCCACGTACAAGTTTATAGAAGAACATTTATTTGATTCGTTAATTTTTATAGATCAACCCATAATTATTTGTATCAATTAATCAATCAATTTACAATATTTTTATATTTATTTGCAATATTAGAAACAGAAAACAAAAGTCTATGTGAATCAATAGATATTAAAAAACTGAAATTTTTATTTTATATAACTAAATATATACATATAAAATGCCAAAAAAAAAATATTAGATACCAAAACCAAGCACACTATGTTTTATATATTTATTTATAAACCCAATCTACCATCTATGAGTGAACGTTACAAAAACCAAGCACACTATGTTTTATATATTTATTTATAAACCCAATCTACCATCTATGAGTGAACGTTACAAAAACCAAGCAAACTCGAATATAACTTTAGCTCTTTCATTCTAACTAGGTTATACCTGCTATACCAAGCTAAATAATTAGTAATAGTTGTTTTTAAATTAACATAGTCTGAGTCTTTAACAAATGCATTTCGGTTACCTTTTTATTTAGTTAGTTAACTGTCTACAATATTTATAATATCACATGGTCCAATAAAAAATAAATAATTTTTGTTTTTTAAGCAAAGTCTATAAGGTTCCTGATCTTTTCATGATTATTTTGCACAGTGAACATTAACACTACTTTGAAGCTATGAATGGTTTTTACAGCAATTTTCTGTTAGTGAAATGTTACATTCCTAAAAAGTACTTTAAAGTGCATAAATAAGTTACCTGGTAAAGCAAATAAGAAATAAAAACACCTAAAGTTAATTGAAAACTTTATTAAATATGAGTTGCCTCAGCTTTAGACATTCCCCGTATTTGGTTACATGTTTGCATGTGATAGCTGGCTAATGATCAAGAAGTTTTTATTTTAGAATCTCTCACGATCGTGAGATATTAACGTTAATGATTATATAATTCATTTATCTTAATAAAAATTACATTTTTCATTATATGTATTTTATATTTCTGCTTAATATATTCGATATTCTACTTTATATATTTGATATTTATTTAATTTATTCATTAAACATTAATCATTTTCTATAAACTACACAATAATTAAAAATAAATAAAAGTTAATAACTTATATAATAGATAAATCTTTTATAATACAGTATAATGATAATGTTAAACTTGAAGAATATAAAAAGTTAACTTATTTTTTTTTGTTCTCTGCATAAATATTATTTGGTCTTAGTTTTGCTTTTTTAAGCTTTATAAAATGCTAGATCTAAACTATATGTTGTTTGTTTTTAGTTTTAAAGTCAAAATACTTAATTAGCTTAAAATATAAACTCAATTACTTTCAATCTCATAAAATTTGCCTCTAAGAAACCTTTTTAACTATTGATATTATTTTTGATTAATTTTAAAATAATATAGACTTTTCTGCAGTTTTCTTTTTTTAATAGATTCGATAAATAGGGTTTCAAAAAATCACAGAATAAAAAAGCAGGTCTACCGAATAATTGATTTTTTGAACTCTATTAATTAATTGGTGGCGCAGTAGCAATGAGTCAATTAATTGCAATAAGAGTTCACTGATATGATTTATTAGTGAATTCTTATTTATTACATAATGATTCATGCAAACATGTGACAAATGGAAGTTAATTACAATTATTTTGTCATTAATTAATTTTATAACAATTTTAATTATATAACATATCAATATAACAAAAATCAATTTTAATTAATTTTCTGGTAAGCTAATAAAAAGTACTTTAAACAGTATAAAAAAAAACCAACCAAATTTATTAAATTGGTTAGATCATCAATGAATATCAGTTTGTCCATCCTGCTAAAAAATTTGATTATTCTGGAGCATAGAATAGAAAAAAAAAGAAAAAAGATGAAAATACAAGAATTTAGTGTTTAAATCAACTTTAAAACACTAATTAAAAATTCTGGGAGTAAAATTTTACATATAAAAACAGGTAACTATTTTTATATTCTTTAAATCTAATTAGCTAACTTCACATTTATATCTACATATACTTAGTTAAATTTCCTTTATAGATTTGTATTACCTCACATGCCAAAAAAAGAGCGCATTTGCTCCAAATAAAGGCATTGTTAATATGATATCATTCATATGATTCAGATATTTATTCTTAATAAAAGTTTTCTTACATTCACTACGTCAGCTACTCTCATTAATTTGCTAATTTCTTAATCCAATATTCTACTAAGTTTCAAGTAGCACGTTCTTTGTCTATGGCAATAATTCTTGGTTCTTGATAATAGTAGTTTGTACTGTTATGCTGCCTGATCATTACTCTAATTATCGACATTGTTGAGAATCGTTGACATGGTACATGATTTTGACTACCTCAATGGATTGTGGATAGTATTGTTGGTTAACCGTCCTGAAAATAAGCATTGTCCCTTTACACTACTTTTTTAAATCTCTGATTAGCAGAAATAACAACACTAATAGTTCTAAGATCACCTAAACATGCTTTTAAATAAAAATGTTCGCAATAAAGATACTAATAGATGTTCTATTAGTAAGTTCAAAAAATTAATAATTATAATCATTTTTTTGCTATTACAAATCAAAATTAATGACTAATACAAGTCGAAGAGCCATAGCTTAACAAGTAAGATGCACATGTGAACAAGAGTTGCAAACATGTACAAGTGAGCCAAATAGAAGAGCTATTGCTCAGCAAGAAAGTAGAGAATGTGAGAGAGTCAGGAATACAGTAAATCAAAGGGCAGTTTCTTAACAGGAAAAAAAAAGGCATGAAAGAATAGAAAATACAATAGATCGTAGGTCTATTGCACAACAATTAAGGAGAAAACTTGAGCGAGCGAAAAGAGCACGTACTATACCAGACAATGAAATATTTGCACAATTTCAACTGCAAAATATACGATATGATCTTGGTCATATGGATACAGTATGTATTCATTGCAGTGCACTCCATTGGTTAGATGAGCATATTGTAAACTCTTCAAAAACTAACCCAAAATTTGGGTTATGTTGCAGACATGGAAAAGTTATTCTTTTTCTTCTTCATGATCTACCTCTTCTTTTGCAGCAGCTTTTTGAGGATCAAGATGAGCAATGTAAGGAATTTCATGCAAACATACGCCAATACAATGCAGCACATGCGTTTACTTCACTAGGAGTAAATATTGATCAAACTATTCTTAGTAGGCGTTCTCTGTATAGCTTTCATATTCATAATGAACTGTACCACTGTTCAGGTTCACTTCTTCCAGAGTCTAGCTTGAATGCAAATTATGTGCAACTTTATATTTATGATCCAGATATTGCACATCAAATAAGAATGGGACGAAACAAGAATTTACATACTCAAACAATGTGAGAATTACAAGAAATTCTTCAGGAACACCATGCATTTTATCCTATATATCAACAAGCTCATGAGATTCTTTCTCAAATATATGAAGAAGGTGTATCCAAAACTGACATAGCTGTTCATCTTCATTTCAATGTAGCAACAGATCGATGTTGCTATAATCTTCTCACATTAAATAAAATAGCTGTTATTTTACCTGGTGATGGATCGGAGCCAAAAGCAATGTGTGACATTGTAATTCGATTACAGGAAGGACTACTTGAACGTATTTATGAAGCTTATCCAGCATATTTACCACTTCATTATATGCTTTTTTTTACACATGAAAAGCTTGGTTGGCATGCGGAATTGCATCATACTTTAATAGATGAATACGGATAATATATTGAAGATCAAAGTAAAGCCTCACATCTGACGCAGATGGATTTTTACTCATTTCGTCTTTTTTCATGTCATACAGAGTTTTCAATGATTCTTCGAAGTGGGAAGTTATTGCAAGAATTTATGGTAGATGCATGGATGACAACTGAGCAAAATAGACTGAGGTACTTATGTATAAACCAGGATGTACTATGAGCAAATGTATATCAGGGTCTCACAGATGCATTAGGAACTATTGTAAATAAGGAAATAAATTTGAATAATCTTGGGTGATGTATAATCCTTCCTTCAACATATATTAGAAGTGCACATCATATGTTTGAGATTTTTCAAGATTCTATGGCAATAACCTGATTTTATCACCATCTAGATATTTTTGGAACGAAGACAGCAAATCCAAATTGGCCAGAAATCATTAATGAATTGCTACCCGGTCAGACTTCGGCTGACAGACCCGACCTGGTAGCACATGTATTTAAGCTCAAACGTCGCACTCTTCTTCATAACATTAAGAGCAACAATATTTTTGGGAGAGTGGCAGCTTATATATATACAATAGAATTTCAAAAACATGGCCTCCCTCATATGCACTTTTTAATCTTTTTTCATAGAGATGACAAAATAAAAGAACCTGCTGATGTTGATCGTGTCGTATATACAGAGTTTTCTGACCGAGAGACTGATCAAATGCTCTTTGACACCATATTACGATGTATGATTCATAGCCCTTGCAGCACCCATAATTCTCAGGCTCCATGTATAGAAAATGGAAAATGCCAAAAGAAGTATCCAAAAAACTTTCACGATATAATGTCAATAGATGTCGATGGATATCCTCATTATGCAAGAAGAAATGATGGTCGTGTTTTTAATATTGCTGGCAAAACTATTGATAATAGAGATGTAGTGCCATATAACCCAGCTCTCAGTCGAAAACTATAACTGTCATGTAAATATCGAAGTCTGTGCTTCTGTACAGGTATATATAATCTGCCTAAATATGTTAATTTTTATTTAAAATTAATATTAACTAACAACTTTGCAAATATAATTTTTTTTTTATAATTTTTTCTTTCATTTATTCATTTGAACAACACCTATATCTATAGGCAGTCAAGTATATTCACAAATATATTTATAAGGGTCATGACCAAACCACAATGCAATTTGGACATGAGCTTGATAAAATTAAACAATATCTTGACGCAAGGTACATTAGTGCATCTGAGGCGGCATGGTAACTGTTTGGAATGCATTTACATGAAGAAGTACCGAGTGTTGTGAGATTGGCATTGCACTTTCCAGGAATGCATAGTGTTATCTTTAACCCAAATGACGATGCTATGAATATTCTTTCCCATGCGAATCATCAAAAAACAACTCTCACTGCATTCTTCGAAACCTGTGCCACTTTAGAAATTGCTTGACAATACACATATTAAGAATTTTCGCAACATTTTGTGTAGAATAAAAAGAGCAAGAAATGGACTATTCGAAAAAGAGGTTTTGCCATTAGTAGGTTGTACTTTACAGACCCGTCAGCTGAAGAGTGCTTCTATCTTCGGCTTTTACTCATCGTTGTTCGTGGCCCACAATCTTTTGAACATTTAAAGATAGTTAACAATGTTCAATATCCAACATTTAAGAGCGCATGTATAGCTCTTGGCCTATTAGAGGATGTTGGAGAATAGGATCAATGTTTAAAAGAAGCCTCTGTTATGTGTAGTGGTTCACAACTAAGAGCAGTTTTTGCAGTTATTCTTACTCAATGTACTCCTACTTATCTTGAGAAATTATGGTTAAACTTTCATGCTAACATCTGCGATGACCTTTGTCATCGATTATGTCATGAACATACTATCAAAGAGCCTACTAAGAATATGATTTATGACTATGAACTCTTTCTTATTGACAAAATCCTTCGTGATTCAAATCACTCACTTGCTAGATGTCCTTCAATGCCACTTTGGGAGCGTAACTGGGATCTTTGTTGCGAAAATCATCTTATTGCTGAACAATTAACATGGGACCATGAGAAACTTCAAAAGTTGGTGGACAACCGCACTCAACAGCTAAATGACGAACAATGTGCTGCATATCACAGTGTTCTCAACTCAATAACTAATAGACATGTAAATTTATTTTTTCTAAACGGACCTACTGGATCTGGTAAAACATTTGTTTATAATACACTTGCAATGAAGATTTGCAGTAAAGGCAAAATTGTAATCTGCATAACTTTCTCAGATATTGCAGCCCTCTTACTTAGCGGTAGTCGTACAGCACATTCGACATTTAAAATTCTTTTTGAGATTAATGAAAGTTCTTTTTGTTCAATTGATAAGAATTCTGATCATGCTGATCTAATCTGTTAAACAGAACTTATCATTTGGAACAAAATACCTATGCAACATCATCACTGTGCTGAAGCTGTTGATCACTCTTTACGTGATATTTGGAATAACTATCAATTATTTGGAGAAATCACTGTTGTATTTGGTGGAGATTTCTGTCAAATCTTGCCAGTTGTCATCAATTGATCGAGAGAGCAAATAGTTGCTGCTTCTCTTCAACAATCTCTCCAATGGCAATATGTAAATATACATACTTTTAAAAAAAATATGCATTTGGGGATGGAATCAAATGAAAATAAATGCTTTTCTGATTGGATTTTAGAAGTAAGCATACTTTAATGCTTTTAAGTTTTAATAAAAACAATATACATATACTAAATTTTTGACATGAACTCTTATTATATCTTATTTATTACTTTATCACTCAATTTTTATAGATTGGAAATGGGATAAATACTTCTAAACTACATAATATGATTTCACTTCCTAAGCACATGAAAGTTGATCGTGACATACGATCTCTTATTGATGTAATTTATCCCAATATATAACTAGGAATACTCAACGATGAATATCTAAAAGATAGAATGATTTTATCTGCTTGCAATGACAATGTTCATGATATTAATTGTGCTGTTTTTGACATGTTTTTTGGAGAAAAACATACATATTTAAGCACTGATAGTGCTATTATAGAAGATAGGGCTGACAACAACAACATATATCCTATTGAGTATTTAAATACTCTTAACCCATCTGGAATGCCACCTTCTAAACTTGACCTTAAAATCAGATGTTCTATTATCCTTTTTCGCAACCTTGCTCCTTATTAAGGTCTTTGCAATGGCTTCTGCTTAGTTGTAAGTCATCTTACAGATCATGTTATTGAAGCATGTATTCTTAGTAGAAACTGTGCTAGAAAATTAGTTTTTATTTTTTGCATTACTTTAACACCTTTAACAACAAACCTATCATTTGTTTTTAAACGAAGACAGTTTCAATTTGCATTGCATTTGCTATTACTATAAATAAGTCTCAAGGCCAATCACTAAAGCATGTTGGCCTAGATCTTTGAACTGCTGTTTTTACACATGACCAACTTTACATAGCTCTTTCCCGTTATATTTCTTCCCATTCAATCAAAATTCTTTTTCTGCCAGATATTGAAGACTGTACTATCATAAATATCATTTATCCTGAAGTGCTGTTATTATATTAACTCTATTATAATAAGCAATATATTAAATAATCTTATGTAAAATACATTTTTACTAAAACTTTACAATCATGAAAAGTGATTACTATGGCGTCTGACTTTTATAGTCACAAAATATTGATTACATTTCACGATATTGTGATAATTTTTATTAAATCATTATTATGAAGTGTTAACTTCAACTTAAAGTTGTAACACTGTAATTCACAACTCTTATATAATGAATTCATCACGAAATGTCAAGGTTCGTAATATGTGTTTTATACATAGAAAGTAAGCAAATAATAATAATAATAATAATCATTCACATACACAGATTAATGAATCTGGATTACTGATTTTTATTAAGTAGCCTTTACATTAATCGACTATACAATATCAATAATATGAATTGAAAGATAAATATATTTGCGAACTTGAATTTTTGATTTAAATGTTTAGATTAATAAATACTTTATATTTAAGCTAAATTGACATGCAAATATTTACTAATCTAAATACCAATTTTTATGCATATATATTACTAACTGAATTCAGAGCCATTTCAATATTAGAGTTGCTAATGAATCACTCTGATAACTTCTTTTAAATAGTAATTTTACAGAGTATTATTATCAAAAAAGAGTTATCAAAATGCTCTATTAACAGCCCAACTATGTAATTGTATATATTATTTATTAAAAAATAGGTGCTGTTGAAATTTGAAATAGTAATCTTATCCAAACTATTTGGAACATACCAAACTATATCATAATTAATATTCATCTAAGTATTTTCTACTTTCTACTTATTGGCGAAGCTAATTATAATATAGTTGGGACATCCCAAATAGTTTAGGTAATATCACTAATCTAAAGCCCTGATATACATATACATACAGTACAGGAAAAAAGTATTTATAATTTCCGATTATAGCGGTTATCTAAAGCGGAGGTAATTCACGTGATTATATTTCAATCAAATTATGGAATTTGGATAATCGCTGGTGAAGTACTACAAGAAAAATGAAAAACCCAAAAAATACAAAAAACACAGTCTAAACCTGCCTTGGGTAGGTTAATTAAAAATATCAGGAACACAATTCTGCATAAATATATTTAAACTAACCCTAACGTAAAGTGACCCTAACTCTAAAGTTGATCAAGTAAATTATGAGTTGCCTCTGCTTTAAATGTCCCTTGATTATAGAATAATTTGTTATTCAAAAATATTGTTATTCATTATATTTATTAGTTACTTTTAATATATTTTCTGTAAAGCATAACAAATTATCCTTTAACGATAATCCAATTAGGCGCATTACCAAAAATGGGCAGAAATGCAGATCAAGTGCGAAATAAATTGTAGATTTTGAGTACATAGAAAAAAATAGTAAAACTTATATAATTATTTAAATCTTTATACATCTTGAAATAAAGAATTGATTTCAATAGAATCAATCTTGATTATGAAACTTTGAACATCCAACTTCATATTTATAAAATTATTTGGCATAGTTAACTCTTGTGAAAAGCTACAAAATGTAACTGAATTTATCAAAAAGCAGCTAATCAAATTTCAATGGAATGATCTAGAATCGATTTCTATTTTTTGGGGAAATGTTAAAGCCAAGTACTAGTTAATATTACTTTTTTGATACAGTTATGATTAGTGGGTTATATAGATATCAAGAATACAATTTATGCAATATGTAGATCTATTAAATGGCTTTAACAGACCTAATTGTAATCAAAATCACGAATATTTTTTTTTGCACTGCATATAAATAAATACAGTTTTAAAACAGAAACAAATATCGTCGAACAAAAAATTTTTGGTATACTAAATAATGTGTAAGATCATAAAAAATTAGAATTTTCTAACCTTAAAATCTTTAGAAATTTCAAATTTTTTTTTTTTTTTTTTTTTTTTTTTAAATATTAACAGTGAGGCCATGCCTTTAACTTTATTAAAATTCAATTGAAGTTTTCATAAAAAAAAGCTTGCTTTTAAATTATATATGAAGAATAAAGACTCAGACATATAATCTGTGACCTAAACCTATAAGAGTGGCCAAGGTTCACCTAGATTTGGGTGTTAGTAATAATATATGAGAGAGGAATATGATATTTAATCCATTAGATAATCCAAAGATCAATTTTAGTAATAATTTGTAGTATTGAAATAGGAGGTAATAGTAAACTAGAAGAAGAGTTATAAGTTGGGTTTGTAGAAGATGTAATTGAAGACTGTGCTAAATGTGAAATACAATATGGAGTCTATAATTGTTTATATATTTGTTGGTTTAAATGAAGAAGGAATTTGATAGAAAGAGAGGTGGCTATGCAGTATGGAATAAAAGTATTATGAATAATAGAAATAAGGTCAATAGGAACTAAGCCAGATAAGGTAGAAATAAGGAATGGTATATGAGAAAAGTTGTGCAATTTAAAACTGTTAAGTGTAAGAATTTCTTAATGTAGATTAGAAACAGAATTAGCAGACATGTCGAGAGCAGTAGCATTTAGAATACAATTAAGTGAATTAGAGATTAGGTGATAAATTGTTTGGTTAGAAGGACAAAGAGTTCAGTGTAATGAGGAACTAGTTTGATTGCAATGGTGTCAAAGAGGAGAGTAAGAAGGGTTGTGTTTGTGAAGAGTGTAAGAAACAGATAGTTCATCCAAGAGAATTTTAACACGAAAGGTTTTTAAAATAGAGGAATGAAAACTGTAAGCAAAGTTAGAGATTTTTTTGATTGTTATTAATGTAAAGCCAAGTGGCTTCCCAGTTAATATTAGATGCAATAGTAGACTATTGTTGAAAACGATGTTGAGAGGTCCAAAGTATTATAATATGAGCTTGGCAGATAGTGCGAATAGAATGACGAATAGGAATTTCAATAGAAAATTGGTTATAAAATGGAATGTAGACAGCATTATAAGGGTTGTTAGTTGAGAATATTAAGAAAGGTAGTATTTGGTGACTACGAGCAAGTTGGTCAGCAAGATTGTTAAATGAGTCATCTTGGTGTGCAGTAACTTTGTGAAAAGTAAGCTGAATATTGTATGAATTAATAAAGTTGATAAGAGTTTGCCAGATAGAGAAGTATGAAGTATGAGTATTAGAAAGTTTAGAAGCTGATGAGCAGATACTGTGGTATTTGGAGATAACAGATTGTGAGTCCGTAAAGATATGAACAGAACAGTTTCTGGGAGCAGTAATAATTGCTAAGAGGATAGCAAGAATTTCAGCCTTAAAGGAGCATGGTCAGAGTTTAACTTGTGTATGAAAAGAGTGAATAGTTGTAGAGTTATCAACTTGGACCCATCCTATGCCCATAGAGCACTAAGAAGTACTGAGCTCAATAACAGAACCATCAGTATAGAATGAGATAGTAGTTAAGTTGTGATTAGAATTGGCAATAGACTGTAAACTGTCAGTAAGTTGACATGATTGAAAGATGCGAGATAGTTGTTGTAGATTGATTGTTAATGAAGGAAGGGGTAGAATATATAAAGGATGTTGAATAGCTACAGAGTATGCAATTATAACAGAATTCTTGTACTGGTTAGTGTTTTATTTTTATATATCTATTTTATGTTGTTTATATACATTGCTTTAGTAATTTTTTTAATAATTTCTTTAAGTATATATTTCTTTTTTAGTTTTATGTATCTTTTTTCATTTTTCTTCTTTTGGTATTGAGTTTTGTTTTGATACTTTTCTATTTATTTCTACTTATTTTGTCTCTTGTATTTATATTGTTTTTCTTAAACTTTCTTCTGTTATTGATTTTTTTCTGAATCTTAAGTACATTATCTGTGTCTAACTTCTCTTTTTATAATATAAATTACTTATTTTTATTATTTACTTTATCTGCTGCTTGTTTTTTAATTTCTGGTAAAGTGATTTTTTTCTTTTTAAATACTTGTTTTTTTATACTTTTTATATTTTTAATTTTTAATAAGTTTTTATTTGTTTAATTAAGCTTTTTTGTTTATTTTTTTATATTACATGTATTTTTTTTTTTAAAAAAAAACTTTGACAGCCTTGTCATTTACCTTTATTAAGTATTTAATATATATTTAGTATATACAGTTATGCTTAAATTTTGGTTCAACATTCTTCAGCTATTTCGAAAGTGCCCAAAGGCAGTTTGCCATACTGGTTAGGAAATTATTCGGACCTAGGAGCTATACCAAGCTAGCCTTTGAGGCTATAAAAAAGAATCTTATATTATTATTAACAAAATTTCTAATTAACCCTAGTCATAACTCTTGTATTCTATTACTATCCTCCTCTTTTTTTTTATCTTCTCTTCCTTCTGGGCTAGGATTTGCTTGTTTGATTTTGCTGCTCTCATCTCTTTTGGTGTACTTGTTTTTGCAAATAGTTATTTTCTATATATTTTTTTTTTCTTTAAACCTATTTCTAGTTCTTTTTTTCAAACAACAATTACTTCATATTGTTTCTTTTATATATACTCATAGAAACTATTGCATGTTGTATTTACTAACGTTCACAAGAAATCTTTTGCTTCTGTCAATGTTTGCATCAGTTCTTGAATCATTTTTGTAGCTTTTTCATGAATTAATCCCTTAATTATTTTATATCTGCTCACTTTATTTTCTTTTT